AACTAGACACATGATGAAATATATGTGAATAGATAATGTCAAAAAATATACTACAAAATAGTTTGGAATTATTGCAAAGAGAAGGGTAATACTCGTCATCTCATCACAATTTATAATCCTTAACAAAACACTATTTTTTTAAAGTCCCACTCAAATAGTGGTGGAAAACATATGTTGAGCCAATCAAATTTACCAAGTGAATTTTGGATCAAAGTTGTCAACACCGCAATGTAGTTGGTAAACTCCTTCTATTGCAATCAAAATCTCAACACGGTTTGAATTGAGACACAAACGTATGGTTGATTATAGTCATTTGAGAATTTTTGGTTGTATTGACTATCTTTTCACACCCAAGGAGCATATGACTAAGTTAGATCTAACATCTAAGAAGTGTTGTTTTCTTGGATATGCTAGTAGTGCTAGGTAAAAGTGTGAAGAATTACATGCTTTGGGATCCAATAGCCAATATAGCGTAAGGTTTTTGTTAGATAAATGTTTCTTTCAATAAGTCTAGATTATTGAAAGAGTAGTGGATTTTTCATGCTCCCCTTACTGACAAAGATACATCTCCACTCATAGATGTTGTTGTTGGAGAGTTTGATTATTATGTGAATGATGATGTGTCACAATAAGAAACACCTATACATGTGAAGTAAGTTCTTGAGGAATATGAATTAGAGTAGCAATATAAATTAAAAGCAATGTATAGTTGGTGAGACTCTTGTGTCTGCACCAGATGATAGAGATCAACCAAAAACATCTACTAGTCAAATTGTGCTTGTAGGGCTACTTAAAAGTATGGTGTATGAGCCAACTCATCCATTCTTGAAGATTGTCACATTGATATAGATGAGAATGATATTGCATTGATCTTGGAAGAAGATGAACCTTCTTTGTCCATGGAAGCTCAAACTTTGATCGATAAGCTTGAGTGAAATATTGCTATGGAACGGGAGATGCAATCATTGATTGAGAATAAGACTTGAAAAATGGTTAGATTTCTAAAGATGAGACGTTTATTAACTCCAAGTTGGTGTACAAGCTGAAGAAAAATCCAACGAAAATGAGGCAAAAATCTACAAAACCAATTGATGGCTACACATTCCACTTAAGAGAAGTGTGGGAACTACAACAAAGTTTGCTCATCTTTAGCAAAATATATTACAATTTATTTGATATGTGCATTGGCTGCAATATTTTGTCTTGTTATGGTACAAATAAACGTGATTAGAACTTTTTTCTATGAATATTTAGAAGAAAAGATCCACATGAGATAACAAGTTAGCTTTGAGGTCAAAAACCAATAGAATTTGGTTGTAGATTGTTAAAATCATTATATGAACTAAAGCAAGCTTTAAGGCAATGAAACATGCATTTTGATGAATTCATGAAGTCACAAGAATTTTTACAAAGTGTGTATGATTCTTGTGTCCACATGAAGAAGATGAATGATAAAATTTACAATCTCATTATTATAGTGTTTTACATTGATAACATGTTAATTTTGAAAAAAAACCAATTCAATGTTGATAAATGAAAGAAGCACTTGAAGATTGCATTTAAGATGAGGAGAATGGAAGACTTAAAAAGAATATTATACATAAATATTCATAGGGATTTTCAAAAGAATAGATTATGGTTGGCTCAAGTCAATTATTTGTTGTATATTTAACAAGCTTAACATGACCAATCATAAAGATGTGTGAACTTCTTTGATAGTAGACTTCAAACTTTCCGCAACTCAATGTCTTATTGATGACATTGAGAAAGAAAAAATGTCATGTAGTCACTATGAATAAGTTGTAGCCAACCTCATGTATTTAACACTGTGTTGTAGTCCTGATATTGTTATAGCAATGAACAATGTGAGTATATACAAGTCAAATTGAAGTAAAATTTACTCGGAAGGAATGAAATGAATACTAAGATATTTGAAGAATATTATGTATAATGGTTCATTAGACAATGTTAAACTCTTGTTGGACTATGTTGATGTTAACTATGGATAGAAATTGAACAGTAGAATATCTACAAATGGCTTTGTTTTTACACTAGATGATAGAAGCATTAGTTGGAAATCTACCTTGCAAAAGTGAGTAGCTCAGTTTACAACAAAAGCTAAGTATGTGGTGGTAGCAAAAGCGATAAAAAAAAGCTATTTAGTTAGAGAGTCTTATCATCAAGATGACATTAACACAAGACGTGATCATTCTTCATTGCTCAAGTAATCTACATTTGGTTGCAAATCAGGTTATGGAAAGTAGAATTAAACATATCAACATCAAGTATCATTTTATCAGACAAAAGTTTTTTGATAAAATAATTAAGCTAGTCAACACAGACTGTGAACTTAATCTAGTTGATGAGTCGGTCAAAGTTATACTTTCAAAAAATTCAAACGATATTGTACTATTAAGCAGGTTGTGCATGGAAATTACATATAGAGTTTGAGAGCATAGTATCTTCAATTAACTCTTTATATCATTATTCTATCCTGTGATGGTTACGGCTTAATTCTAGTTAACTTTGGTTAGCAAGAAGAGCTTTGTGTTAAATTTACTTCCAAAATTTCTTGCGAAGTAATTATATAGGTTACGAATGTTATTGTTTCCTCTATGCTAGTAAGTCTTTTAGTTATCTCTTTATGTTATTACTCAATCATGTTATGAATACAACTTAGTTCGAGTTAATTTTGATCGATAAGAGTAGCATTGTGTTGGGTTTCTTTCTAGACTTTTTGGAGTATTTAATAAAGGTTACGAAAGTTAATGTTCCCTTGACATGAGTTTAGGTGAAGATTAGTGAGGTTAATTCATGTTAGGAAGTAACTTTGGTCATAGCTAAACTTAGCTAGAAAACTAGAGTGTATTTAATCCCAACAAAATATGTAAACCAACATTTTACAGATAATACAAATATGTTGTGATGTTCTATCGTGGACTCTCTGAAGTATGAACCACGTTGCATATCTATCTATTTGTGTTTTATTGTCTCATTGATCTTTATGTTGACTTTGCATTTACTACCAATACTTTTAAATGATTTTTGTAAAAAACTAACAAATCTATTATTTTTTAGATTACTTCTTTGTCAAATGCAACCTCATCAAAGTTATAGAGATTAAAGCAAATTGAATATATCATGAAATATATGATTGAGTTTGTTTATAAGCAAAAACAACTTTCCTATAAAAGAAAGATTTTACAAACAAGTTTTGATAGTCTTTTTAGGAACAAAATAATTGAATAGTGATTCAAGATGCTTTTTGAATTAAATCTCGTCATCAATACATCAAATGATTTTTTGTCACTTTATTTGAAATACATTTATATTATAATTATCATAAAAGATCAAAAGTTTGAGTGTTGATTAAAGTGATCATTCCTAAAAGATTAAGTACAAATCATATGTATTTTTGGCATGGATAGCAAAAAAATTATTCTACATTTAAGTAATTTTTTTAATGTATAAAATGATAATTTAATAAAATGTTGATCACTTACACAATAAAGTTGGTAAATCTAAAATGACAAATTTGATAATTAATACAATATCCATGATTCTGTTTGATAAAATTCCTTGTGTCATTGTTATTTCTCACGTATTTTCACAAAATAATTCAATCAAATTGTTGTTAAATCTTTGTTGTATTTTGTAAGATTAGAATTATATTATACATCAAATATAATGAACATAGATGAAATTCTTAGATTTTTCAAGCAAGTTCTTCTATTTGCAAAAATAATAACATTAAGAAATGCATTATTATCAGGATTGAACTTATTATGATAGATTTTCAAAAGAATTGTATACACTTATTCTGTGGCAATTTTTTACTTTGATATCTTTGTTTATAGAAATAAATTAAAAAACAACTATGCAAATAAATCACATCCGAATCATATATATAATTGACGTACAGTCACTCAATATAAATGGCGTATTATCCTTGTTTTTAAATCAAAAATCAAAATCAACAAAATCAAAATTTTAAATAAAAAAATCAACTTGTAATGTATTTTACAATTTCTTCAAACTAGCTTTCGCTTTTGCTCAAGAAATCATGAAGACCTCTTGTAAGAATACTATAATGTTTGTAGATGAATATTTAGTAATGTAATCTATAAGTAGCATGAATGATTTTTATAGGTTTATTTCAATTTAAGGTGAGAGAAGACATAAACTATTGTAAGTAATGTATACATATGAAATACTTCCATGTTTTTTGGGTACATTCCTGCATGTTTCCATATGTTTGTGCAATATATGTATGAAAAAATAGGTTTTTAAATCACAATTTACATGACTGATTGGGGAATGTAGTTGGCAATCAATTGATTTTTCGGACGGAGAAGTGTGAAATAGGACTAAATGTTTCATAAATCCAAAATGTTGAGGACACAGATATTGAACATAATGAAGTATGAAATATGTGTAGTGAAGTTGTGAAAAGGATTGATTTTTGGGAGTAAAAAATCACCTCAGGGATTAAGTGAAAACTCTGTTGGATATAGAAAGTTGCATACCGTGAAAAAAATTGATCATCTGTGTGATTAACTAGCCAATTTGACTGGAGCAAAGGTTTATGTTCTGAATTGTATTCCACATCATTACTCGTCACATTATCTTATTTATCGCTACAAACACCAATATAGACAGTAGTAAAAGGTAACATCACTCGTGTAAAAAAAAGATCTTAGACAGAAAAACTGCAAATATTGTACTAAGCACTACGCAGGTTTCGTAGGTACAAAGTGTATTATTTGAAAGCTAGAGGTCTATACTGAATTTATATATCTCATGGCATGGGAAAGGTTGGTCCTCATGGGAGAGGTATTGACACGCCCTGATAACTTCGTCTGGTCCAAAGATTTCGCTGGATTGAAAGAAATATTTCATACGATCACAGCTGGCAAGTGACAATTGCCACGTAGGCGACCTAAACGGCCTTTTCGAAGCAGTGTGGCCTCGTATAGTTTCCAGCTTAGGTCTGGAGAACCAGCAATTGAAATATCTCATCGAGAGGAAGATGATGAGCTTGGGTACCTTGTTCCTTACCAGAGAAAACATCTACTTAGTGATTTTGCTCACTCATCGGCATTCTTTTAGGACGTGAGTGAATGATTTATCCGCTCAACGCTCTTGGAAGTCGACCTGCGCCGAAGGCCGACGGTGGGTCAGAATTTGGAAGCGATTCGGGTTACTGCTGGTACGGCCATGGCAAGCGAGTTGAGTTGATTTGTGGGATAAACTGAAAGCTGTTAAGTCAGGAATTGGTTCGGGGTCGAAGGTCAATGTCTCGAACAATCTTAGCACGGTACCATTCATGACTTAGGTTAGATACATCGTGGCGAGGCACGGGACTGTCGAAAGCAATTGATACGGATTGTAAATGACCGAGAGTCTGTTGTACGTTTTGATTGTGCTTTCTTTCTCCGCTTGATTGGATCAGGTTACTCCTGCGTTGTGTCTGTGTTCTTCCGTAGGTGCCTATACTGCTAATTGTTTGCTTGCGCGTATCTTTCTTGTATGATACTTCCTTCTTCCTTCTTTTTCTCTCTACTTACAGCCAATCGGCCGGCGATTTAGTAATGACGGACGCATGTAATAGAAGTGCTGACTTGTGATTAAGTTTCGGGAATCCGTACGTATCTTGCATACAAGATACTTGTCAGTAAAGAGATTTTATTTGTATTGCGGAAAGCTGAATTGCTGCGCGAGAGCAGGTTGTCGTTGCATGTTTGGGTACACACAAATCAGGAAGAAATATATAGATTTGTTTCATGCGGCATGTAGTTTTTCCAAGCTATGTTTTATCTTTGCGATTGATTGTTCCGTGCTGAAGGTCATTGTTATCACAAACTTGAGTTGGTGCCTGCAGATTGTAATCTTGCCCTTCGTTCAGTTGTGTCGTGACCCCTTGCATAGTGTCGTTAACGATGGAAGATACATAATACAGGGCGTCTGTGGAAATCGAGATACTGCGCTTGAGGTACAGTCGATCGTAGGAATCGCACAGTGGAGGGAGATTCCTGCTGGGCATTGTGGCTCTGAATCGATGTTGTTGATCACTTTCAACCTTGTCTTGAGCGTGCTTGATTCTTGCACTTGCTTGGTTTTTTTTTCTTTTCATATCAGCTCCAAACTTCTTCTCACCCTGGAGGTTGTTATGTAACTCCCGGACGTGAGCTTTCTTGCCTGATGAATTTTACCGTTCTAGACTGTGGAGTAAATTCCCTTCCTAAAATATTACTATCCTGCAGACTCAACTGGAACCCTACTTGGTTGGCACACCTTTCAATTTTCGTCATAGTCTCGCGGCTAGAGTACTTGTATTCTATCTTGCTGCATGTATATCTACTTCCAATCTAAACTCGAGTATTGTCATAATAATCAATCTTTTGTAAAACTCGACTATCGCTTTTACATTTTGTGCCTCTTTGATCTTGCGCATTTGTCGAGCTTCAATTTTACAAATTCTTTTGGTTCCCTCTTCGTTCGTCAAACCCACCATAGTGTGCATTTCTCATGAAACTATGTTTAGACTATATTAGAACTATGTTTTCATTATTTCTCGATAGGATTGTTTTATATTTTTCTCTTACGTCTTCTTGTTCTCTCTCTCTCTCTCTCTCTCTCTCTCTCTCTCTCTCTCTCTCTCTCTCTCTCTCTCTCTCTCTCTCTCCCCAGTGGTCTGCTCCCTTCTGCCTCTCTTTTCATCACTTTTTTCTCTTGTATTTCCTCCTTTTGGTTGCGACTAGTATTCCTTATCCAAGGCGAAGTCTTGGGTCGTCAAGGCTAATGGGAACACCGGAATTACCGACGAGGATAGTATTCAAAACCTTTCCTTCAACCTGATAATTTTTCTGGATGCCTTCTTTGCTTGCTGAGAAGTATGAGAAGGCTTTGTGTAGGACAACCACTATTTGCGTTCAGGAACTACGTTGACTATTCATATGAAGTTTATCCTTTTGTTTGCTTGTAGAAAATAATCTCCACATCTATAAATTTTCAGATTTGTTCACTCATGCTCGGTTTCCACACAGAACTCTGAAGCCTTGTAGCTTTCGTCTACGCTTCTTTAATGTTATTTGGGAGCATACTTCCGCTGCAATTTGTGATTTTGTGATTGTCGTTTCAGTTTGGTTCTTTGTCACGTAAAGCGGTAGTTTAAGTCAGTCCTCTTCCGGGGGATACCATCGTGAATTCTGTTTCAGGATTGTGCTCCGTCTTCATAGTGGATGGCAAACTAATTTATCTTTCTCAATGTTTTGCGTTCAGGTCGGGCGTTCAGGTTTCTGAACGCCCGACCACGAAACCACCGCCAAATCACTTAGAATCTTTCGATAGTCTCATGCCTTGAGGGATGATTTCTGGTTTCTCCTTCAGCGGAGAGAAGTGAAGGACGTTGCAGCGTTGTGGCTGCGTGCAAGCTCTGTGCTCTAATGTGGAGATTAAGTGCAATCGTTTGGTTTTGACAACAGGAGACTAACTTTTGCCACCCCCTTTGCCGAAGTATGCATCAGTATACGCTACACTTCTTCTTACGAATTACTCATATTGGCATGCAGAGGTGGTGTCGTAGGTTAGGTGTCTGATTATCGAATCGGCATGCATCATTGCATGCACATGTTTTGTTTTCCGGTCTTGGTTTACCACAGAAAGATATCCCCTACAGGAAGAAACCTCCCTCTTCTCTGCCTTTGTCATCCTCGCACCTTTACTTTTCTCAATCTGTTGCTCTTAGCACGGTGCTTACAATAACATCCGTTTTTTAATTCTCTCGGTACTTGTATGCTCTCTTTCTTTCCAACCGGGTTGCCCACTACAACCGAACTTCTCTTCAGCCGTGGTGGAACTCCCACGGCCATCTTGGAGCACTATTTTCAAGGTGTTTCTTGTGCAGAGACACTTGAAGTGCAAGGCCAGAAGTGAGCTTTTCCTTATCAACTTCAAGGAGCAAGAAAATCACTGCCCACCTGCGTACAGTATTGCACGGAAGACAAAGTCGCGTGCTTCTGTGCTAGAATGCAGATACTTTTTATCATAAACCCTAAACCCTAGCTCTACACAGATCTCACCAGCATTGGGTAAGTTTTTCTTTCTTTGTTCTGTTTGTCTTTCACTTCTTTTTGTCCTAATGCCTACACTCAGGTTTTCTATTTTCGTTCTGTTCCTGTTGCGCACCTCCGGTGGCTCTGGCTCCTCTCCTCTCATCTAATTCGGGGATGTATACCTCGCAGTTTTTCTGATTGTGCGCTTGCAGTCTTTGTTTGAAGCTTGCCCTATTTTTGTCTCCATCTACTCGTATGGATTGTGAATGCCTGCTTTTGATTTCCGCAGCTCGCCTGGAGATTTCTGCACTTGGTATGTAATAGGCGTTGCTCATTGAATTTGTCGATTTTTTCAGCAGGATGCCACTCAAGGTTTCGAGCCCCTTCTTTATCCCATCACAGTTCCGATCCACCTAGTTAAGCGTTAGCATGAGTCCGTATGGTTGAACCCCCGCGCGTTCCAGCGCAGAAACCTATTCACCCCGGTACCCAGTGATGAAGCAGCCGGGACTGTCTCACGATGGAGTGAATATCGTTGAATAGCTCGTGGTGATGGACCCCGGTCGCATCCGATTCGAGGAGCCATACCGCGTTTCAATTTGTCAGTGCATATGCAATAATGTCAATTGCCTTGTGCTTATCTTCTGCCTCTTATGCCTGCGCTTCTCACGGACTGTTGATTTCTTTCCCCGTTGCTGTAAATACCGGCAGGCTTCTGTTGTGGACATTCTATAAATGCTTCCCTCAGAAACGTCGTCTTATTCAGTGGAATACTTTGGCCTTTTTAGGGCCGCTTCTTGACAGATTTTTCAAGCGGGTCCGATGCATAGGGTTACCTCACAGTAAGAGGTCCTATCTCTGGGCTTTTGCGTTTTTGTTCCCTTGCGTGTTATGTTTTTGCGGTCGATTTTGTTAGTCAAAATTTTGTTTCCTGGGTTTCTGTGCCGTTAGTTCCCATGCGTGGTAAACCCTTGTGGTCGATCGCATGTTATTTGAATTGTTGAGCACATCTGTTCCCATCCTGCACGTCGCAGACACTGACGTGTCGGCTACACTGACGACTACGCAAACGTTTTGCTTTCCTACAAGAGGTTGGCATAAAATGTTCTTGTAGGTAAAGCACTTTGCGGTGTTCCATAGCTCACTGTTTTATGAAACCAACCCAAGTTTGCTCCAGGTAGTTGCCTTCAAATTGACCTTAGTGGCATGATGTCCATGCTCCTTGCTATAACCGTACTTGCTGATGTTAAGATGGCCAGGTAAAACAGACTTTGGATCATTCTGCCGGCATAGACTTTTCTCGCTTTTATAATGTTTTGAGTACATCACATTGTTTAGCGGCCGAATCGGCTCGAATGAATTTGGTAAGAAGCATTAGCCAACAAATCGACTGTTTCTTACGCTTACTCTTTGCACTTCGATGACCAATCAACTAACGTTTCCAGAGTTACATTTCTCGGATAGTCAATATAGTTACTGAGAGAACACGTTTCTTGGTTCTGTGCCATGAAAGAACATTCGTAGCCTTTCCATATCGGCTACCTTCCCAATCTCTCGCTAGAGATTACCTATCACTGCGCCAATGTTAGTTGTGTCTTTGCCGATTTAATGTTGTTCTCTCTTATGATATTTCTCATTGACGGCATTATTTTCTAGAAGTGAACTGAACCCGCGAAGATTTACCTTTGTATTCAACTTGTCCTCAAAGACAGTGCGGCGACGTGTGAGCAATATGTCGAGGCCATTCCTTGTTTTTTACCCCACTATAGCTGGAGTTCTTTCGGCTACTTAGCCGAGCTACAACTCTAAACCCTGTCATCAGCTGTCCCGGTTTGCTTTGCTCCTTTTTTGGTGATATGCTTGAAGAGTATGATCTCCTCTTTACATCTATTTCGCTGATGACTTCATGTTGCTATCCCGTAGCATATATTCTTGCGATGTTTACAGAGCTTAGCTCTAAAAGTTCCCTGCATTGGTAAAGGATGATTAGAAATTAACGGTGGTGCCGTAACCACATCTACATTGCTCTTTCTTCCAAAAGTCTTTGGTTGTCTGGACATGTAAAACTGATGTATTGTTTCTCTCTTGCTTCTGTTTTGTATTTATTGTTGTCGTTGCAATTGCTTTTCCAAACGTAACTTCTGTTACAGGAGTAGACTCCTGCTCGCTTAGGTTCTCAGGCCTGTCCTATCGACGGGTGTACTTCTTCTCGAACTTACGTCTATATGCTTGTTTTCATTTTGTACCTCTCTATTCAACTGCTATGGTTTTTCGTTTCTTCCGTCTTTTTCTTCAAGTCTCCTTCCATTCACTATCACTCAGTTCACTCCTATGAGACTCACCAGATTGGTCCGAGATGGTTTTGGTCCCCTGATTGTTAAGCCCTAAGGTTGATCATGTCCTATGTTATCATAGGGGCAAGGTTAATACATATCTAATATATCTGCTTATATATCTATCTAATAGATATCTACATTTAATATTTATTTCTGCTTGGCCTTTAAGAGAATTATTGAAAGCGTGGTCCTCTTTGCAGGCTCCTTAATGATAGTTTCTCTACAATTATCTTCTTCTTTGGAGCTGCTTGTCTGGACTGTCGGAAGGTTTGATTGCCCATTCAAATGCCGTCTCAAGGCACCTCAGGCATCGCACCTTCTGGCTTCTTCCACCAAGGCACCTCACGCAATTCGAATCATCTTCTTTGGCGTTTGCATAGATTGCTCAAAGAGGGAACTTGGAATTCACAAGATTCTTTTTGCATTTAATGATTGCAAAGAATTGCTTAAATGGTCTAGAATCCCTGCTGATAAAAACATTCTAATGGTCGGCAAACTTTCGATTTTACAACTATTTATACTAAATTTACCGAGAGGATTAAAAAACTCGGATGGAATATCTCGTTGGTATTATTCACCAATTCCACCTGTTCAAACGTCACCAATATCTACTAGTTCAACTCTAGATGGTGATTCCATGTGGTTAGTTTCTCTACAACTCTACAACAAAGACCCGCCGATCTGCTTAGCTATCAGTAACTCGTCACAGTTACAGTATTGACAAATTCTTTGTAAGTTTCTATGGATAATTTGTGAGTTACATCCGCCCAAGTGGCTTACAAACATGATTTCGTGATATACCTATGTGGGGAATTTGTGCAGAGTTCTTAGCCAATTATTACTTGTTAAACTACGAGTTGGAATTTACACAACGTCGTACTAGACAGGTACGCCGCAATCAAGTCTCCTCTTCTTCCTTCCCAAATTCTACTTCTTATATTACGAGTTGAAGGTAATACAACGTAAATTTATACGGTAAACCATAATGAAGTGTCTTCTTTGTTCCTTCCCAATATTCTACCAGTAAGTCGTTTTCTCTCTCTGGGTCCCCCACTGCATGGATTTTCCTACTAGTATGTACCTATCCGCCACTACTGTTGTTTGAGGTATGTGCCGACCACATAGTTGTGTGTTCAATTTGTCTCCTTTTGAGACTAGTTGAAAGTTTCTGGACCTCGCAATCATTCAAACTGGTGCTAAGTTTCAAGTGACTAAGCTTGATAAGAGATGTCTGCAAGACTACAATCATATTTCCTCAGTTTGAATGCCCCAAATCACCTCCTGTTTTGTAGATATAGCCATGTATGGGATGATTACGAGCCCATCGCAGAAGCCAGTAATTATATGTGTTAGGACACCAACTCTGAAAGCCAAGTTCTAGACCTATCTCTTACACTTCGGGTACGAAGCTGGAGCACCAGGAAAGCCTTTTTCGACGGAATCGTTCATTTTCCAATTGGATTGTTTGCTTTGGCCAGTCAGGTATATCACATATACAGCGCCGTTACAAGGTGTACTAAAGTCACCTCGGTCAGTGGTGAGCCAAGTAATGGCCCACTTGAATTGCTGGCATATCTTGCTTGTATGGTCATGACAAATTTGTCTAATTTCTGCTACTTTTTACAAAGTCAGTCAATCCACCGCTACCAGACTGGCTACTTGATTTGGCTCTTCTGTTATTTTTTGCTATATCCAGCAACTTGCTGCCCATAGTCTGCATTTTTCAGCTCACCGCTTGCAGTGCTGCATGTTCTACCTCAAATTGAATGCCCCTTCCTGCTCCTTACTGTGTATCTGCATGAGCTGCGCAACTCTCCGCACTGTGCTAATTCTAGCCTGAAGGAATTTCTTATCCCTTCTCCTTTCCTTGTGCGCTTCGAAGTGAACCCTGGGTACCTAGCATCATGATCAGGAGCTAGCGCGACGACTTGAAACTTTTAAGTGTTGTAAGGTCCTACAAGGGTGCTGGCGAGATGTTGGACATAGTGCGAGCGGTTTGATACACGCTCATATAACACGCTGTATACAGCTTCCAGATTCCATTCCGTTCCAGAGACCTCAAGGTTGCACATCCCTTCCGGCGTACCGATGTGATCTGTGTTAACACCTCTCCAAGTTCCACGTTTTTTTTCATATGCCTAATCACGTCTTCCCTGGATTGTTATCTGCCCTTGTTCGGCGTCTCGCTCTCAACTAGACATCTGCATCCGATTTATCATCAGTATGTATTCAAGCAGGTTTCAGTTCCATTCTCCATGTAAGCAACTTTTTTTTTTTCAATCTGCAGATACCACTGAAACATCACTGTATTGGCACAGGTTTCAATTTCTCTCAAACCTCGCCGCTTGAATTGATTGCTTGATTTCGAACTGGCTACATACAGTGTTCATACAATCTGGCTACATACAAAGTTCAAATAGGGTTTCGCGCCTTATTCCTTTTTTGTCATCTGGCTCGACCCTGTAATGTATCAAAACAAGCAAAGCACACGAGTGTACAGTTACTAACGGATATCTGCTGTAAATGCAGGTACCTGCACGAAGTTTGGCCATCCGCGTTAGAGTTTGTCACATCGAGTTGCATGATCAGTGTATCTCGGTTTGGCCAGTAAGTTCGTCCTCAGATTCGGCGTCCACTCACAACCAGAGGAACCTCTGCAAAACAGTCAGATAGTAAACTTGCAGTATATCGAGCATCTGGAGTAATTTGTCCATCTACGGAAGCCCTCCTTCATAGAAGGTATTTCGTTTTCTGCAAGGTTCTCATGAGGTCTTCGAGTCTCTTTTTTCAGCACTTTGGAAACATTAAACTAAGATCCAGACGGCGGTCACACTGTCCCGGACTCTGTTCGAGGTATAGATTGCTCATTCACTCACGTATTGAGCTTTACCAATTCCAGGCAAGCTGCCAAGCCTATAGAGGTTTTAGAGTTTAGGAAGCTCGTTGGAGCCTCGAGGAGTGTTCCAAGGCTGCCCGGACCGAATTGAGCTGTTTTGTCGGTTACCGTATTGGTGTTGATCGTCCGTCGAAGTACAACGGAGCAGCCCGCGGCATCTGGACTCTAGTGAATACGGAGTTACACAATTTGGCCCAAGGAAGACAGAGGTTGAAGATATTTGGTTCTTACTTGCAGACCTGTTTGCTTATGAATAAGCTGGTTTTCAGCAAGAGGAAGGGAATCTCTGTCTGAGGTTTTTTATCGGGAGGAGGCAACAAATGTTGAGGGTCAGAGTCAAGGTTTATTTCACTTGACGTTTTGCTACATGTGAAAAAGCATAGTCGGGCGTTCTGCTCTCTTCACGATGTCACTGAGCCAATCAGAAAGATAGGAACAGACCGTCTCCACTACTAGGTCTACTGAACATGATCTGATGTGTATTTCCCCAAAAGCGGCCTCGCGTCTCCCGCAGTATCGTGAAAAGCTCTAAGGAGGATGGAGACCCTGGTTACCTCCGAAGCTTGTCGCAGCCCTTGCAATTTCATTGAGGACACTTTAGCCTGTGAAACTGCAGCCATAGTAGCTAGACGACGGCGAAAAGAAATCCGTCGGTTCAAGCTGATTACTAACGCTGGATTCTCTGAGCCTTCAAGAAAGCGCTCCCGCTCTTTGGTTAGTAACACCTTTTCCTCTGACGTAGGAGATGAAGCAAGCCTTGTGCCATGCAGGCCAAACTGTAACCTTGCTTTGAGGCCGTCCAAGCATTCCGCGGATAACGAAGAGCGGACAACTGGAAGCCGCGAGGCTTTTAGTTGTCCTCATGGGCTTGAAGGAAGAAGATCGATAACGTCTTCGTCTATGTCTACTTGGGAGAGGACTTCCGCGTTGGGAATTGGTATGCAGAGTAGTAGCAGCGGAGAAGAGGATAGCGCAAGCAGTAATAGCGGTAGCACAAGTAGCGGGAGCAGTGTAAGTAGTGATAGTTCCGGGACAAGTCTCGAGAGCACGGACGCCGAAGCAGGCTCCACTATCACTTGGACTTCAGACAACGGCCGCCCCTTAAGTCTCACTGATACTCAACTACATGTACAAGCAACGACAAACATGCTGCATTCGCAAGGCACACCCGTTGACCGCCTCAAAGTATCAGGCGAGAGAAGCCTTCTGAATCTGGACGATACAACCATGGCTCCTAGTACGAGTAGTAGTTCAAACTTCATTGATGATGGACAATGCCCTCCTCATGGACTCGTATCAGTTTGTGGACGGCGTCGAGAAATGGAGGATGCAGTTGCAGCAGTTCCTGCGTTTTTATCAGTGCCATGCGATGTCACTGGGTGCAGTTGTCGAGACAGTTATGGAGTACACGCTCCTTTACACTTCTTTGGAGTATATGATGGGCATGGGGGCTCCCAGGTTAGTAGGATTTTGTCTTACCGAATGGAAATTCTGAGAGAGTGTTTGGATTATTTGAGTGAGTCTCTTACACGTCAACACCCATGTCATTCCTCCAGCTCTCGTAGCGGAGGATTCACTCAAGCATACTGATTTTATCTGTTTTCTTTTCGCCTTGGTGATCTCCAGCATTCACCTCAACGGGTTTCTATAAGGTTAACTTTTGATCGGTACATCTGGAACCTTAATGTATTGTCACACTTTCTAACTTCGACTCCTATATTGAGTACTTGTACTCGATTTTTTTCATCTTTTTTTATATACGTACTTCCCAGGCGTTGTATGTCTACCATGCTTAACACTGTTACTTTCGTTTCCATCTCCGGGATCTCTGGGAAGATTGCAACAAATATAATTCAGGTGGGTCACTGAAATGAGCTAATCAGCAAATTTTGCAGGCAGCGGTATTTTGTGCAGATCGCCTCCACCATGCTCTTGCGGAGGAGATGAAGACTCTTTTGAACGCAGGAAGCTCTAGTCTTGGATGCTCTCACAACTACTGGGATCTGCAGTGGCAAAGAGCAATGCTAGCCTGCTTCTTAAGAATGGACGCAGAGGTTGAGCCAATTGCTCCTGAGACAGTTGGGTCAACTGCAGTGGTCGCAGTAGTGGGATCTTGTCAGATTATCGTTGCGAATTGCGGAGATTCACGAGCTGTGTTATCACGTGGAGGAAGAGCAATTGCCCTTTCAAATGATCACAAGGTACGCCGCGATTATACTTATCTCACCGTACTTACTCTCTCATCCACTCCATGAAAATATCGTTTGGGTTGTGCCTGGTAGACCGCTGTATTTCAGAAAAAGTTTTGCCAAATTCAGGCAGAAACGTCTGCCCCTCGTTCACACATATAACGGCGCGAATTTTTTTTGGTTATAGCAACTGATGTTTGCCAGTAGGTGTCGGTGCGTATCCCGAGGCCCTGGCTACGGCTATCGTAAAGGCCCAAAGAGCGCCGAGGATTAGTTGACCCTGTACGCGTTCAGGTCGGATGAGTTGTGTTTTGTCATCTTGCTCCTCATTGTTGCCCGGTTTCTGTTTGTGCGCTTGAGTTTAGAACGTCCTATGCTCGTCTTCGATATCGAACTTCAGCATCTGAATCTAGCTCCTCTGATCGTCCTGTTCCGCTGGATTACTCGGCTGGGTTCTTTTCTTCTCATTTGTTGCCATTCCGGCTCGTTATCATCAGATAAAGCCTGGAACTCCTCATAGCCTCGTGCATCTCCAATGTACCGATTTCTGGAATTAGATATTCCGGGTTGTGTATCTTCCTAATCTTTTGTAAAGAGAAGTTGTCTAAACTATTTCGTTTGTCTGAAATTCAATCCACAAACCCCCTCCTAAACCCTAAACCCAAAACTTTCAACTTGGAAACTGCCGTCAGTGACATGGAAGCTTGCAGTCAACATAGAAAACTTTACTGCTGTTTATCTTTCATTGGCCTAGTCGGTGAACCAAGCTTGTAGAACAACTTTTGTCGTTACCTTGACAGTGCCGATCTTTTGTCGTTAGTACTCGAAAATGCCTGTGTATTGTATCAGTGAGTTTTATCAGCTGAATGCCATGTCATGTTATTGGCCGTTTTCTTTTTCATGTCGTTACAGTTCTGATGCATTGGGTTATGCGTTATATGGAGCACTCAGGTTGTTAGCTTCGGGGTCTGGGCTTTGGGTCTCCTTGCATGTTAATCCCCTGCGGTTGATGACGTGTTATTTCAAATTTTCCTTTCTCGTCGGGAGCTTTATTCCAAACTCGCTGTGTAGGTCTTAGGGCACCTTCCCCCCCTTTTTCTCTGGTTAGGAGATATCATCTATTTCGAGACCTTGCCTTCGTGCTTCTAGGATCTCGGTTTTTCCTTTCCTTAAACTTAGCCCTGTTTTCTAAATTGCCTTCTATATCAAGGCAATCTATATAACAGGGCTAAGTTATCAGATCAGGGCAACAATAATGTAATCTCTGCACTTCCTGTTGGGTTTTGAGTTATCCTCAAGCCCCGCGTAGTCCAGGGCAGGAACATATTAACACAGGTAAGCACTGATGAAGCAGCCAAGATTATGTGACGATGGAGTGGACTGTGGACTAGATGTTCCGGATGGTTCACGGTTCTTATTTTTTTCCGTCGGCTTTGCGGAACCATACCGCATCAGTACTTGTTCAGTCAGTGCGTGTGCACTCATTTGAAAATTAGTTGGTTCTTAAATTAAAGTATCTTGTAAGTGCATTTCATCCCATAGGTTGTGGCTGCTTGCTTCCCTACATAGAACTCACTTCGTTGCTTCTGTTCCGGATACACTATGTGTAGTTTCCATCGAATTCTACGGTGTTGCACCTCGATGATATGCCATGTGTTTGGGTCTCCTCTCTTACTTTACTGTTCCAATACATTGTAATTCGCCCCGATGCTTCTTCTTCTCGACTGTCTACCTGACGGTAGGTATTGTAAATAGTCCCTGCCTCCTTTCTCGCATCCGTTTCTTCCATAACTGTTTTATTTCCTTGAACGTGCACTTCATCGGGTAGTTGCTGCCTGCCTAATATATCTGCAACTCATATTTTTTATTTTTTAGAAGAGTAATCTTTGTTTTTGCACCTCGTTCAATTTGTTGCCTTCCAGCCGTTTAGCTACTCAGCTCCATGTTTCTTGACATTTTTACTTCTATTATATTGCTTTGTGTGCTGGGCCCGCACACAAAGCAACGGAGTCATGCTTATTTTTCCTTTTGCTTCTTCTCATGGAATGCTATGCCATGTTTTCTTGGCCATGTCTGGGACCTGTTCGTTATGCCTAATGGTTCAAACATACCGCCTTTTGCCTTAAATAGAGCCCCTATGTTTTTACCTTCCGGTTCTGTGTGTTCCCGTTTTCTTTCGTGTCAAGCCCTAGTGGTTCACCACGTGGTAAATTCCACCCAAATTTTACTTGGACGTCCCATATTTGCGCAGTTCTGTTCCCAGTCCTGCATATGGCAGTCACTGATTGTGTCGTACCTGCAGGTTCTCTCTGATCACTATCCTCATGGCATTTCTCGCGCAGTTTACGTACTCTTGTGGGATTGTCACAGCTGAAGCCTTTGTTGAGTTTGAATGCAGTTTTGTCCAACAAAAAGTTCGGCATTTCCTTTAAAGACCTGGGATGGTGTACATGAATGAGTGAGGCTAACGTAAATGTATCATACATATATTGACATTGACTGCGCTGGTCAGTAAATACTATTCGTGCAAATTACTGTTTGAAGAATTGTTTGACTTTATTTCTTTCGGAACCATTCGACTTCTGCTTCCTTCGACTTTACTGCACTAAGGTTTAATAATATCCCGTTTTGTTTGTGGCAGCCCGAACGAGAAGATGAAATGGCCAGGGTGGAAGCCGCCGGAGGTCGTGTTATTTTTTGGAATGGTTATCGTGTCTTGGGTGTGCTTGCCATGTCTAGGGCCATTGGTATGTATCAATTGCATGTTTGTCTCCCTACCTAGTGCTGTAGTCAAGTTCACATACTAAGCTGTTTTGTCAGGGCTTCTCCAAAATCTTCGTCTGGTTTGATACGGGTTAGGTGTTATTACTAATGTGTGTGTCCACATGCGGTGGAGTCGAAGTCGTGGGATACTGTGAGACTGCGATGTTGCCATCAGGCTATCTGTTGCGGTGATTTCCTTGTCATAACCTTTAATATCTTACTTTCACATCATACAGTCTCCTTCGCTTTCGAATTTACTGGTGTACAAGATATCATCCAGTGCTATCAAAAGATCTGAGATTTGTCGAACGGTCTGGGGAATTGGAAAAAACTTGCGACGTAATACATGCTACTATCTTTTCCTATGTTATCTTTCTCCGGACCTGAGTTACTTCGCACTGGGATAATGTTTCGTAACCGGTTGATCACGTGTTCCTTCGATTAATTGTGACTCTTGGTGGAAGGCACAGTTCAACAATTTTCACGTCGGACTATCCCTTTTTATCAAAAAGTATAGGAAAGTCCCTGTTGATGTACAGCAAAACAAGCCGTTTGTCATTTGTGCACTTATTTCTCGAAACACATTAATGCTTCTGTTATTCCCTTAATATCTCAGTTGGTCTTGTGTCTACAGTGTAAACACCGGACATGTTTTGGTGCAAGTTGGCCACGTAGGTGGATCCTTACACCAATCCTCGTTGCATACCAAACAATACCTAACAAAAGAACATGCAACGAGGTTTGGTGTTATGATCCCTAGTTTTTGGAACTTATGCCATCCTCTTCAGCGATACACAAGTAACAAATTTTGCTATGTTCTTTTGTTAATTCATCACATTCTTCTCTGTGTTGATGTGTTTCGTAAAATATGGCTTTCGTAAAAAGTGCTTATGGTAGAAACCGTAACCGAACGTATGTCGGTCTTTTCTTTCCTCACTTTCTATGTCAAAGTCAATATCTTCCGCGACCCAATACCCTAAACCCCTAAACTTGGATTACGGAAGCTGATGTGCAGATAGTTGGTACCATGGCATTCTGGCCGACTATCACGGCCAGTCGTAGAGTTGGGTTGACCGAGAGCCTCTCTCGTTTAGTCTACAGAATTATATGTGGGAATCTACATACTGAAAGTCGTCAAAGAGGGGTACAAAGAGGTCAATGGTATCACCAGGTTTTTCTGGTGCCTGAGAATACGTAACACAGACGTCCAGTTGAATTTCACGAAAACGACCTTCTTCATAATTGAAGGCACAGTATGGATGCGAACGACATTTTGCAAGGTAGGTTGTAATCGTTTCATCATGAAGTTCTTCATGCTATGGTTGCAGCACCCAAGGTATGACCCGGGTTAGTGCATCATGTTCCATATCTTGACAGCGTAGAACGAGTAACCAAGCTTTGAGGTCGAAAATACCCTGAACCCGAAAGCAATGAGCGACAAAAGACGAATGTCATTTGTCGCTCATGATCGTCTATGATAAAAATTCTCTCTCTTTTGTCTTTCGTAGAGGTTTCTGATCAGCCTGCTGTGAAGGTCTCAGACCCTCTGTTTGCTCCTAAAAAAAAAATACTTAAACGAGGCTCATCCTTCATTATCTCTAGAGATTTCTATGTTTTAGAACCATTTCAAGCTGAGCCTGTACCAAAGACCATTTACAGTAGGTCTAGGCAACAGCACCCGAAAAACTTACACGATCTGTTGGGTTGAAGAGTTCTCGTCGAACCCCTTGGTGTCCAGTGCCTAAATGTATCCATCCCGGTACCCACTGATGAAGAATCTGGGTTCCTATTACGACGGAGTGATGCTCGCGGGGTAGATTTTGTCGATGGTCATTGTCTCCTTTTCTCGCCATGTATTCTACGAACTGTACCGAAACTTGTTTCGAAAGTGCGTCTGCACTCGTTGTTTTAACCGTTTCAAGTCTCTCTCTTATATGGGTGTTTAATCCTGTTTTGTGCGGCTGCCTGCTTCCCCTCAACCCTAGACTTGCAGGCAAGCTTCTGTTCCGAATGAATACTCACTGAATGTTTTCCATCGAATTTGTTGAGGTTTTTAGCAGGATGCTATGCCATGTATGATCCTCCATGTCGGGTGCTGTCCTTGCTGCCTGACCGTCTTTATACATCGCATTATGCCGTATGTAGAGCTGCTAGAACCTAATCGGGTCTGTAATCTTCGGTCCCCTCTCGGTTGGTCACATGTGACATCTATCTTACTTCTCTCTAAAGCTTTCCTTTTTCAAAATTTCCGTCAGTTTCTCAACAGAGCGGTGGCCGTATAGAACCTTAATGTTTTTCCGGAACAAGAAGTTGTCATGAGTCATCAATTGTTCTGTGAGGTGGTGTTTGGTATTATACAGATCGAGTAATAGTTGGTAGAGTACTGTGTGTATGTTGAAGTGTCTGGTGGTAGTGTACGTAACTTGACATATTCATAGTATGGGCATGTAGAGCTAATGATACTCACTGCGTGCACAGGTGATAGGTATTTGAAGCCTTATGTAATCGCGGAGCCAGAAGTCACTTGCACTCAGCGATCGGAAGAAGACGAATGTTTGATATTAGCTAGTGATGGTTTATGGGATGTATTATCAAATGAGCTTGTCTGCGAAATTGCTCGGAAGTGTCTGATTGGTCGTCGCAGTAGTGATCTTTCACTGAATATGGGCCCTAGTCTGGATGATGAAGCAGAGGAGTCTCCTGCCTCTGTGGCAGCTGCACTTCTTACCAAGCTGGCCCTAGCACGAGGTAGCAGTGACAATATCAGTGTAGTAGTTGTTGATTTGATGGCACGACCTTCCAGATTGTCGTGAAATGTCTTTACAGTGTTCGTGGCGAGGAAACGATAAAGTGACAGACTTAAATAGTGCAGCAGTATAAAACTTGCATATTGTTTCGGCGAAGATGTTCGGATGGGAATTCTGGAACACGTGTTTGGAGTACTTAGAAAAAATTGTCACTGATGGGCCAGTAATGTGCCAATAATTAGCAAACAGTTTTTATTTGGTTTTGGACATGCTTATCATGTTCGCGAAATGTGTATTAGTCGTTTTATTAGTCGTGTATATCATGGGAGGCGCTTTGTAGACATTATGAAATATTTTCGGCGCTTGTAGCTTGGTCAGGTTCTCGGGAACGTGAGTGTGTATTCACAAGTCTGGTAAAGTTGACACCGTGATAGGTGGCAAATTATTCTCATGCCACTTCGGGTTTATTCACTCAGGTACAGGATTGGTCAGTTTTGAGAAGGAACGATTCATCATCGCTTATCAGTAAAGTTTTATTATTCGAGTAAAGTCTCTATTAGTGCTTTTCAAAAGATTATCAAACGTGATGCGGAAGACCAAGTCAACGGTTACAACGTGGTCGACCTAAGAAGCTTTTTTCGTACGGCAATTCTTGTTCATTTCCTGATTGTGTTTAGAAACTTTATCTTTTCCGTTCTACTGTTTGAAATTGTATCTTTTGTTTTGAGTAAATATTGAAAGTATTTATAGCCTACAGTACAGGAAAGGAAACTCAGTAGAACGTCATATCACTTCGGCACCAAGTGTATCCCATTCTTTTTCAACAATTAACTCTAATACCAGATAAAAGCTTTGAGAATTGTATAAAACATTTAGTAATCTTGTTCGCACCACGAGAAATACTCCAGAAGTTAATTTAGGCAACTACCTTGCGTAATAACCTCCTGACGAAAATGTCTCTATGATTAGCCTTTTGGAAAAAAACAGTGACAGTAGCGATTGGTACGCAAAGCTAACACTACCAAAGATCACTGACACGAAGCTAAGACAACTGCAAAGTTGTGTTGCCATTCTATGTGTATGCCTATTTGTTTCTGCTATCTTTGTAAAACCGAGGGCCAACTACACTAATAAAAATTGAGAGAATCTCAATAAGCGAGACAATTATAAAGTTATGTTTTCTATCTATGTGTATACCTTTCTGTGTTTGCTATCTTAGTAAAACCAAGGGCCGACTAGATTAAAAACATTGGAGAGACTCTCAACAAGCGAGAGAAGGAATAAGTTAGTGATATTTCATTGTCATACGGCTATTTCTGGATTTCAACAGAAATTTGGAGGAACATCGAATCCTAACCCTAAACTCGTCTTACCTCGACCCGACCTGAGATGTACAAACTATCTGGATCAAATGATTTACAAACAATGAATGTATATAAAGACATTTCCTCTTACATGGTTGCTATCTTGTGTGTAGCACTAACTAATAATCTTTGCACAGCAATAGAAGTAATTCTTCTCAAATAAACTATATAATAGGTCAAAAAAGGCTATTCCTTCACAACCTTAGTATGATGTTCGCAAGCAGTGTCTTACAAACATGTTAAAGTGTTCTTAATGCTATATAACTATACTGTACTGTCAAAGTATCCAAAAGTTGACATGTATGCATGTCGATTGGAGATAGCTTAGTTGGTAGAATGTCGATTCCATTCATCCGAGACTTTGGAAAATAATTGCGTTAAAAAAATATGGTCATCATGTTTCCACGTTAATCATCACGTCTGCAACAATCACCATATACAGAAATAATTAATCCCTAAATTTAAGCCTTTAAGTTTGTTATGCATTCATAATTATGGTATAATAAATATACTAAAAATTCAGATTTATTATAAATTTATATCACTTATTTTTTATTATATAATAATTTCATCCGGGAAATTTCTTAAGCAAATTTTGTTGTAAAATTTTACATTTTACAACAACTTATTATAACTATTATAATTGTGTTGAATTCGTTGAAATATAAATGAATGAAAATTTTAAGGAATATGTTTGAATGAAAACATTGATTGATTTCATGAAAAAAATAACATATAAAAAAGTGGTTTAAATTTTTTATATGAACTGTTAATTTTCAGTCAAATCTTGTGTTAAACTCTAGTTAATCTAATTTGAATTAGAGTTAGAATTAGACTTAAGCCTAGTTAGGTTGAAACCTAGGTTTCTGCTACCATGTATACATTGAAGGGCGAGCCACAACTTGTATTCAACACTTTGCAGGTATTTTTAGTAAAGACTTTGTTGTTCTTGTGTACATAGTTCGAGAGGGGCAAACCATATAGTTTTTTTGTCACCTTCTCTTCGGGCTTGATCTATTTACCATTTACCATATATGATTGTGGTTAATTGATTCTTGTGCATTTCTTATTACAATTGGTATTAGAGAGATCGATTTTAATTTGTTTGGCCAAGATAGTGTAGGCCTTGACAAGGTCTAAAAGGAGATTTGCTCCTAATGTATCTCTTGTTGATTTTGGTGATGTGCAAAGATTGAATCGTGGAAGTTTACGATTCAACCTTCGATCGAAGAAGGACGTTGAAACCAAAAGCCAAGCTCAAAAGCAAAGTGGGACTTGAGGTGCATCACAACTTGAGTTCAAGCAAAGGTTCTCCGAGCAATTTCAAAATCGTTGTACACCAAAAGTAGACATGTGGATTTCAAAAGCGCCGTTCTTGAATTACAAGTTTTTATAAATTTAAGTCGGCCAGAAATGTACACTTGACATTTTTTTTTCTTGCATTCGACGACAAGAGTGGTTGTAGATTGTAAAAATACTTCAAGGACATATTAACCTAACAAATTATTGTGTTTGAAAGCGAGTTGTTATGCTGGAAAAAAAAAATAAGCAACAAGATTGTTGATCATTTGATAAATGATCAACAGCAGCATCAAACGAGAGCCAAAAGATAAAGACGAAGATGATGGTTGCTAGGATGAACGAAGGAAGAATGAACAACGTACAAAAGATAGATTGAAAGTCAAAGAAAGGACATGACAAGTTTCAAGAAAGCTTTGTGTATGCTTTGTGTCAAGAAAATTAGACTTTGCATTAAAAAATTTAAAACAGAAATTTGGAAAACCAAGAAAACACACAATAGAAGGTAATTTTGTCAAAAACAGTTGGGAAAAAAAATTCCATGGAAATTTGATCAAAAGCCAAATTTAGAATTGAAAAATGTCGATCAAGAAGTATCAATCGCTTCATCTTATTCCATACTGTGAGGAATGATGTGATATTTGTTAAGTGAGGGATATGCAAAAACATCTTCTACTCGAGATTGCGGCTAATTTGAAAATATGATACCAGGATTATTAAGTTGTCGCGAACCAAACGAGAAGATGAAATGGCTAGGATGAAATCTCTGAAGATCGTGCTATTTTTTGGAACTATTATTTTGTTTTGGATGTGATTGCTATGTCTAGTACCATTGATATGTATCAATTGCATTTGATCCTCATTTGTTTCAATAAACAATTTTAACTATTTGTCAAAATGAAATGGTTGCCACAAAGTTTGACATAGAAGTATAAAAGATAGTCAAATTCAATGAATGTGATGATAATCTATTTTATGAGAGATTTATGAAGTACAAGTTGAAGGATTTAGCTCTAGGCAAAATAAAAATAAAAATTAAAAAAATGACATATTTATAATTATAAATAAATAATTATTTATTTTTATAAATAATTATAAAATTAATTATTTTTATTTTTAGAATAAAAATAATCGAAGGAAGGTTCAGGAGTAGACTATGAACATATTCACATTATATTTGAAGCCTTTGAATTAAAAGCTATGAGATGAGTTTCAAAATTATACCTTGTTGTTTGAGGCTCTTGAGCAATGGTTTCATAGCAAGGAATTGTCAAATAGAATGTATGACTTCTTGATACGGATCAACTTAAGATGAAAAATTGTGGCACAAAAATTCAAAAAACATCACATTGATGCGTTTGATGATCTGATGATTGATCTTCAAAATCTTGAATAGGAGATAAGTAAGGAAAAAAAAGCCCCACATCTTTTAAGCTCGCTGCCTACTTTATATCAGTCATTGATAAGTGTGTTGCTTCGTCCTGATTGGCAAACAGTTACTTATCACAAAGTTATAAATGCTTTGTTGATTGATGATTTGCAGTAAAAGATATATAGGTATTTTCTCCATACTCTTTTTTTAAAACAACACTTAATGTAACTCAAGATCAATCATATCCAAGAAATGACAAAGATAATAAGCGCGTTGAATCTAAGGATAGATTTAACATGCTTATATGTTGGATATGTGACAAGAGTGGCCACGTCAAGATGACAGTCGGGTAAAGACAAGACATATAATGTTGGGAGATAATGTTTCATCTTATCAGCTTAACTTTAGCTTTGCCCTCCTTGTTGTAGCCCCATACAAACTGTTTGTATAGCTGAAAATGACCAAAAATTGCATGAAGAAAGTGTATGACGTGGATTGTGCTTGTATGACAACTTGTAGCAAAATGATACAAGATTCAAGAGGAGGAGCTTGGAGTGCCATCCTCCAAGTGTCTTAATAAGCTTGTGCGTATAGAAGTCATCTTGACTCTGTGATGTTATTCCAAGACCAACCACGTCACCAAGGTATTTGTGAATAGTTCGTGCCTCCAGAAGATCATAGTCAGTTAGCGCTAAGCCTCGGCAAGGTAAGGTAAAAGGTAACGGGGTAAGGTATGGGCCTTTACCTTTCCCATACCTTTTACCTTACACGTAACACTATTGTCTACCTTTACTCTTTACCTCTACCTCAGGGTAATTACCCGGTCACCTAGTAAGAATTTAAAAAGTTTTAGTTTTGGACGCATCATATAAAGATTCTCCTGGGGGTATGCGGTTTCTGGTTTTCTTTGAATGCATTTTTTTAGCTACTTGTTGATCTTCTATCGTAACACTATCAGACGTCTACTGCCTCGTTGTCGATGAATAACCGCTTCCTTTGTAGTTACCGGGACATGAATTGAGATGTTGCCAATGGATTAGATACTTATTACTTCTAAGAATCTCATTCACTTCTTATTTAGCATTAGTGCTTGAGAGAGTGTGTCTAAATCAAAGATAGAAGAGAGAGAATACCGCAATCATGAGAAACATGAATTATTTTGTTATATGCAATATAAATGAAGGACTGAACTCCGTAGCCATTAGAAGTGGCTTTCCCCCATTTTAGATACTAAATTATCTCATTTTAACCAAAAATTTTCAATCCAAGTGGAACCCATTTTCAACTGGTTCACTCGGATGGAGATAAAGTTGAAGTCTCCTTCACAAGACTATACGATTCAAGTCAAACCCCATCTATGCTGACTCTTAACGTTGACAAGAGGTATATCTTCTTTAGTGTTTTTAATTTCAGATCTTATTAGAATAAAAAACAGGCAGAAGATCTATGCATTATAATTGAGCCGAACAACTACTCGAGCCAACGCTATTATAACTTCTATTAAAAGACCTCGTCGTCAGATTACAAAACTG